TCCCCCTCTGCGCCTCCCCACCATGCTCTCTCTTCCACTGGAGGAAAAAAAAAAAAAACAACCAAAAGCCTGGGCCTGTTTTCATCAGCAAGCCAGGGGGAACGAGTGCTGGGACAGGCAGCTTGCGGGACAGGCCCCGCAGGGACAGAATGGAGGAGGCAGCCGGGAGGCGAAAAGGACAAGCGAGAGGAGTCCTCAGGTGCTGGGTTCAAGGAGACACAGAGAGATCGGGACGGCAGCCGAGGCCCAAGGAGCGTCCCCGGGTCGGGGAGTCAGAAGAAAGACCACCAGGTTCCAGTGGCAGGCGGGTGGCCAGCAATGCTGAGCCGTGGGGCCGGGGGTGAGGCCACACCGGTCAGTAGAGACGCCGAGGTCGGGGAGGCAGAATGTGGACGGCGGGGCTCCCCCCGGGACTGTGCTGTGCCGCCCGAGGATTCGGGGTGCTGACAGGCGCTTCTGCCTCCAAGCCGGGTAAGAAGGAGAGTGGAGAAGGAAGAGAGAGTGGACCGGGAAAGAGCCCCAGGGTCCTGGGAGGAGGGACGCCCACGCCAGCCCCCGCTGCCCACGGCCTGTCACACAAGGGCAAGTCTGTCCCTGCCGTTCGGGGCGCCCGCCTCTGTCAGCTCGACACTCTGAAGAGACCTCATGGTTCTTTGTGCCACCCAAGTGGGTCTTCCGTGAGCAGCTTCCCGGTGCCATATTGTTCCCCAGAAGCATGACCAGACGCTTCCCCCCCGACCCCAGTGCAGACCCTCCCTGATGCTCCCTGGACGGTGGGCCCAGCGGGGGCTTAGATACGGTGTTGACTGACAGCCGGCTGCCCCTGGTTCTTTCCTGCCGGCCCAAGGGACAGCCCCTCTGGGCGGTGTTGTGGAGAGAGAATTTAAGCCCCAGCACAGTGTGATTTCTTCGTGGCCCCGGGAGAAAGAGTGGGACCTGGTTCCCATCCCAGCTCTGCTCCCTCCTAGCCACGTGATGTCGGGCAAGTCCTGCCCCATGACGCTGAACGGTGCTCATACGTGAAATAGCGTGTGTGTGTGTGGGGGGGTTTATGTGGGACCTCTGTGTGTAGTCCAAGTGAGTTCATGTGAACGACGTGCCAGACCCACAGCCCAGCTCTGAAACTGGTTTCGGGGCACCCTTGGCCCCCAGCAGCGTGAGCTCAGCAAGTGCGTCCACGAGGCTGACACCCGGTCCTGTGCCGGGTGGCAGCAGCCTGGTTATCACCGGGAAAGCGGGACAGCCAGCACGTCGGGGAGCCCCCGGGGCCACGGGCGCCAAGGACAATCTGATGGTCATGGCTCCTTGGAAGTAGCCGGAAGAGCAAGTGTCCAGAACTGAACGGCTCACAGCCAGCCAGGTCGGATGAGAAGCAGGGGACAGCCTTTCAGGGTCTTACTGGGGCCTTGGCTTCGGAGCCAAGAGGGCCTCCCAGCTGCCCGAAGGACCCAGGCGCCCTTCCAAACTGGCCGCCGGACCTGCAGCTGTGTCCAGCAAGCCGTGGCCTCCTGGGCCACGCCCGACGCCTTCCAGTGGATGCCCCGAATGATGTGTAGTCCTCTGACCTCTCCAACTGCAGTCCCTCCCTTGCTTTCAGAATGGGGAGCACCCTGTCCTCCCAGAGCCTCCTGACCCTGATCCCACCCCAGGCTGGAGGGCTTCCCTCCCTGCTTCCTGTGTCTGAGGTTAGGGGGGCCCTTCTGATGGAATCAGGGCCACTGACATCCGGCCCACATGACTTTCCTGGGGGTGGGACCTGGGTTTGACTCAGACTGGGGAGCAACAGCATCTGCTCAGCATCACAGTGCAATAAATATTTGCTCGTGGGTGGCAACAAGTATATTCAAGACTCAGTTAAGTTAAATAAGGAATGTTTTAGGTATCGGCCAAGCTTTTCTGAATGTGCAGTCATGAGGAATTAAATCTGTAATGCAGGATGGAGGGCGGGACTGTGTTCTGGGGGGCCTGGGGGGTAAGCTGCGGGCAGGTCATCCTGACACCAGGCCCACTCAACCAGACCCAAACTAAACATGGTTATTTAAGTAAAGTTTAAGTTGTTTTTTTTTTTTTTTTAAGATTTTATTTATGATGGGGAGGGAGGAGGAGGGAGCAGGGAGAGGGACAAGCTGACCCTGTGCTGAGTGCCAAGCCCAACTCAGGGCTTGATCCCAAGACCCTGAGATCATGATGTGAGCTGAAACCAAGAGTTGGACCTTAACTGGCTGAGCCACCCTGGTGCCCCAAGTTTAAGTTTTTATTTTTATTTATTTATTTTTAAAGATTTTATTTGAGAGAGAGAGAGAGAGCACAAGCAAGGGGGAGGGGAAGAGGGAGAGGCAGGCTCCCCACTGAGCAGGG